TCTACTGTGTGTATTTGTTGTTTAGTTTTATTCATTTTAAAAGCCCATTTAATGACAGGCGTTGCAAATTAGTGTAGGCTATAAATGTTAAGTACATTTACTGTACTTGTTTACACTTTTAAGGTACTTTTTAATGTAAAATGTTAAAATTAAAAATAATATCTACATTTTGTGAAGCTTAATAGTTTAACTGCACTACATTTCAGATGGCTCCACTACTTTTAAATGCTGCAGATTGAACTTCAGCTCCAGCATTAAAATAAAATAAAATTGTACCGTACACTAAACACTACAGGGCAGTGGAGGACAAAACTGTATTACAAACCACTGAATAGTCTAAACAGTACTGTTTTAGACTGTTCAGTGGTTTGTAATATGTAGAAAAAGAGAGACGGATTATGGTACAAAACAGTATACAATGGAAGCAGTAAAAACAGGATGTGAGCAAGTGATATTTGGTTATAAATTTAACAGTCTGGTGGCTCTGAGGACGACGCTGTCCGGGACCTGTTGGCTTTGGAAATAATACTTTACGTAATTTTTTCCAGAAGGTAAAAGCCTGCATAGTTTGTGGCTAGGGATGAGTGTGGTCTTGGATGATTCTGTGGGCCTCCTTCAAGTGTCTCCTGTGGTAAATGCCCTGGAGGGGTGGTTGTTTATTGCCTGTGAGAAACTATGCTGTTTACATCACCTGCTGTACAGCTTTACAGTCCAGGATGGCGCAACTTGGACACCACGCAGTACTGCAGTTGCTACAGATATACATGTAAAAGGTAGAGAGGATCTACAGAGCCATGACAATTTATATTTCAACAATAGTCCATATCACTGATCCAAAGGAACTTGGAACTGCTGACTCTCTCCACTTAAGGAATATTAATGACAATGAGGATGTTTCCTCCTCGTTCACAGTTATTTCCTTGTCACTGTCAATACTGTGTTTTTATTAACAAACAAAACCAGGTCACTCGGAGATATTGCAAGAAATAAAATATTGTGTTTGTATTGTGGCTGCACAATTGATTATCACAATCACAATATGGCCAAGTGCAATATCATGATCACAGACGCTACAAATTTTGTTCTCCGGGTGTAAGTAAACACATTTGCTTGATACAGGCCCCAACAATTCACATCATAATTGTTTTTCCTGTGAAATTAACATTTTGATGCAAAAATGATGATTCCCACTAACCGTGAATCATTTTGCAACTGAAATAGCTGTCAAAATATTTGCAATCTGATTTTTTTCTTTACCATATCGTGCAGCCCCACTGTTCATGTACTCCATTCTCAGTTTTTACGAGTAGTAGTAAAAATTTCCTGGCATCGCTCCAATATTTCTAAACCAAGACTCACATATTGTGTATTTAGAATTTATATAAGAATCATGTTTTTCTTTACTTTGCACATGTGTTGTTTTTTTTAGATACCCTACTGTTTAAGTAGATGTTTCAGAATTAATGCTATTGGTGAAAGTCAGAAATAATCAGATTTTCTTTCCTCTTTCATGAAAACTTGGTAAGTGACAATGCTGATGGCTGTGGTGTCATTCTCCAACTGATGACAGAGGGGCTGTGCTGTGCCTCACAGTTATGTGTGACCAGGGAGTACTGGCCTGGGCTTGAGTGCCGAGAATGAGTGGAAGAAGTGCCAATCTTCACCACCAGTGGTCTGCCTGTCAGCAGGTCGAGGATTCAGTTGCACATGGTGGTGATCAAACGTCATCCCTGAGGATGAGTAGAGTTGTACTGAGTGCTGTGTGCAGTGTGCGGTAATCAACAGTATTCTCACATGTATGCTTTTCAGTGCGTCAGGGCAATGAGGGGTTAAAGTGATGGCATCCTCGGTTGATCTATTTGCTCTATGCAATCTGCAGACTGTCTAGATTGCCTAGGGGAAATGATTGTATGTGAGTTTTGACCAGCAGCCCGAGGCATCTCATGATGACAAGCGTAAGTGGAGCAGGGTGGTAGTCCCTCAGGCAGGATTTCCTGGGTTTCATAGGCACAACATGAATGCATGCTGTATTGCAATCAAACATTACAAACTGGAGCAGGCAAAGATTGAGTGTATCCACAAGAGCACCTGCCAGCTGATCAGCACATGCTAAGCTGGCTAGAGATTCTCTCAGGTGTTTTAAGTGGGTTGATGCACCGGAGGGCTCTGCTCATGTCGACGCTGGACACAGTGAGTGCTTTTAGAGATTCTGTGTCGTTCTTACTGTAATTCCTAAAACATGTGTGTTTATCTTGTTTGGGATCTTTGTGTCTCTGTGACTGTCCCCAGACCAGCAAATCTGTCTCTAAATGATGGAGGGTTGACAACTTTGAGAAAAATGTAAGACATATGATGTTAAACTTCTTATCTTATCTGATGTGTCTATACCTGATGAAGCTGTGTGTGTGTGTGTGTGTTGTGTGTGTGTGGTGTGTGTGTGTGTGAGTGTTGTTGAACACACTTTAAAACTCAGATGACACCTTGTGAAATCTGCTCATAATTTGTGCAACATTACAGTTTTGTTCCCTGACAAAACAATCCACAACATGTTTTATGTCTATTAACCTTTACTCTGTTCAGTGCATCACTTCCACAAATGATTATCTTTATCTTTAGTTCATCATATTGTGACGAGAGTATCAATGTCATAATGCACCATAATGGAAACACGTTCCCCTTTAATGCATCTCCTCTAAATCTGCAGCCACATTACTGCTTGGATATGCATACGAATATGTGTGTTCAACTGATGTTTACAGGCCCTGTACTTTCCCTTTGCACTTTTATAGCCTAAAATCAAATCTTTCTGTCCTTAAGGCATGTGCTCTGCTACTATGGAAGTTATTTATGTCTCTGCCCCAGTGCCACGAATACTAATTCCCGTAGTTTTAGTGGGTCAAGTGTTTCTGATTTATTATTTCCACTCTCCTGGTTTCCAGACAGCAAGCCAGCTCACTGTGAAGGGCCGGAGCATCTGAGGACACAAAATGGCTGGGCCAGGATACATGTCTGACATGGGTGTTGTGGAGCCAAATAAATCCCCGTTAGCTGAACGGCTGGATCAAGTACTGGTGCCAGACCTGGAGACCTCCCAAGCCACAGGACAAGGATCAACTCTTCATAAGCATGAACCTAACACCCACATACTTTACTACTAGTTAGTGCACATGAATCAACAGTTAACAAGCTTATGACACATGTCTAAGGTGCTGCAGGGCTCAGGATATGCTGATTCTGAGGGTGGACATAACTAACTTGGTAGCTGACATTGAACTTTGCACATGAATGCTTGGGTTTTACGGTGTGGCCCTAATTGTTGAGTGGTCTGTACTCTTTAGCCACACGGCGGGTACAAAATGTATAACTGTCTAATGTGGAGGGGACTGGAATATTTAGGGAATGTTTGTTGTGAAAATTCTTGTCATTTCGGAGGCAAGGCAGTGCTGGTAGGGTATTTAGAAAGCAGACAAGCACTGCACACCATATATCTGTACTGTGCTGACTATTAGATCAATGCAGTGGATAAATGGATGGTGCAAAATACCTGATACACATATGATAGGTGTGACAGAAGAGCTTGTTCATGCAGTTGTGCGAGTGGTAGGCACAATACACTACTGTTTCAGCCTATACCTTTTTTTGGTTATTGCTATAAACTGTTTTTGACATTGACTCATTGTCTGTTTAATCACTTGGCTGTTTTCAGTTTTAAAATATTATATCTTAAAGAGCAAAAAAGATTATTTCTAGATAGCACAACAGATTAGATGTATCACATTTTAAAGAGTAAATGTATTTGTAAAAGGTAGCCTATTTTTTTATACAAAAACAAATGTCCTAGACCTTGTAAAACGTCAGAAATAATTGTGTACTGCTTGTAGGCAGCTACTGTTGTATGGAGGAAAAAAAGCTGAATAATTTGCACAGCCGCGATCTGTATTCGCGTTACAATCTACACTAATCTACCTCTTGTTTTCAGACTGCAGCAGGAGTAAGGAATTGGCTGGAAGAGGATATATGGGACCGGATGGGGCCCTCCTCTCTCTTTCCCACTCCCCTTCGTATCTGTCGCCTTTACTGTGTTTACATTATAGACACACCCCTGACCTTCACCCAGGCCCCCTCCGCTGGCCCCACCTCCACACACACACACATATATATATATCACCATTTACACCACATATCAGAGTGCAGACAACCGTGAATGAACAAATGTCATTTAAATAGCCAAATAAGTGTGTCGAAAAAAAAACCCCCAGATTCTATCTCGGTGAATGGCACAGAATATCAGCAATATTTGCCCAGTGTGGTCGTGTAGTGGAGGGTTTTCATCGTCTATTTCTAGCATACTCGGCAATCTCTCATGCATTGCAAATGTATGGCAAGATCGCCATGCAGCGGAATTGCTTCCCAGCCTACCACTGTACTGCAGAGTAGACACACCCCTCCAATACGCACGCCTCACTGCACACATTTGCAAAGTGTCAAAGAAATAATGAAACAAAATGCATAAAATGGAAGATTAAGGACCAGACGGAGCTCATATTATTGTTTGGCCCGCGTGATATCGATGGGGCTGGTGTTGTGGCTTATTTAAAACTCAAATATAAGGCTTAAAGCCCGTAGCTGCAAAACAAAGACGCTTGGGCGCAAGAGAGAGAAACACGACCTCAACGGGACGGTTTCCACCCATTGAGACACCACAGCGTATCTAATGTTAGCACGGTGATGCCCCCACCGGGTGTCCGCTGATTCACACATCAGAGGCAAAACGATGTTGCCTTAAAGCTCACGCGGTCAAAGTTGTTTACCTCTTCGTTACCTCTGACGTCACGACACACCCCTGTTTCAGGGGGCGGGTCTCCGCCTTACGGGCACCGGAACCCGCCAATCACAGGCGGGCTGGGCCGAAATGTCACCAATCAGCGCACGGGAGACACGCCGAGCCCACATGTGATTGGTTACCGGAGGGGCTGGGGGGGAAATCCCTCTTTCCCGTAGAGGACCTGAAGAGGGGGCGGTGCATAACAAAAAGTAATGGCCATCTATTTGGGTCCTGAAGAAGGAGGGGTATTTCTCGTCGGACTACCGTAAGGTGTGCTTGAGTTTTCTTCATGTTAACGCGTACGTTAGCCCGTCAGTGAGACCCCGCTGCGCCTCAACCGTGTTTCCGTTGAACAGCCGTTGGCCGCGGTCACAGAACGGTTAACGGCTGGCTGAACTTGGAGCCGTTTTAGGGTTAAAGCAGCCAGCTAGCCACGCTAACGTTAGCTAACTTACTACCAGCGCCGCGGTGGGAGCCAGCGTCTGGAAGGGCGTACGAGTTTGACGTTTTCTCCCCAAGTCTCCTCACATTTCTGAGTTTAGTGCAACGCAGTCCTCTTCCTCCCCGTAGCTAACCCACCCAGGCAACAACATGGAGGGGACACACTTTGCACGAGCATGAAGGCGACGACAAACGGCGACTAAAGAGGATTAAAAAGCAACTCGGTCTTGATGGGGAAAAGTTGAGCTGAGGTATGAAAATCGCATGCACAGGAGGAATGTTAAAGTCGAGACTTGAGTTTATGTGATTGCTGTTATTAAAGACCCCTGAAGAAACAGGTTTAGCCCAGTTTAAAGTGTGTTGTTTTAATCAACGTGTTTGCCTTACTGCTGTATGATGATGATTACCAATGAGTGTGTATGTTGAATTCAGTGTTACATAAACAGAGCAACTGCAGGTCAGGTATAGGCCCACTCAGTAACTTGCGACATGCCATTTTGCTTTTGTATTGAACAGGATTAACAACTTGGGATAAACTGAAGAAAGGTTTCAAGTCTAACCTATTGTACAAGGGCATGCTAAAACCTCAGGTGAGACATTTTTATAATGCTTTTCAGTCATACTTCACACTGTGCACTCGTGTATGTTGAGAGTCTGCTGTCTTGGAAAGGATACGTCTGTTCACGTGTAAGTAAGACGTGATTTGTGTTTGCTTTGAAGTTGCACATTTCTGCACAGATTTTCTGGGATGGATGCAGTCTCGTGATTTCACTACTATGATATTTTGGTTATTAGAAATACATTCACTCTCGTCATTCATGTCTAAAGATTTCTCTTAAGAATCAGGTAGTGAGTAATGCATGGGCTACTATCAATACTGAAATGACTGCAATACCAGTATATTGAAGTGCTTTCTACAATTGGACATATTAGTACTTTTAAAAACTTGGGTTCATTTAACATGACTTTTTAAGATGTGACCTAAATGAGTGACGCTGCTGAAACCAAAGGACTTGGGCCTGACTGTTTGTGGTGTGTAATGAAATTTGCAGTCAATTGGCTGTTTGTTTGTCCAAATGAGAACATTATATCAGGGTGAAAATTCATCCCGTAAATTATAAATACTTCATCATTATATTATCAATCATAAGTAATGAAATAAAGGTGACACGCTTGATATTTAGTCACCTTTTAATAACAGTGTAACGTCAGTTGATTAACACATGACGGACTTGTTACAAGCGTCAGTGATCTCAGTGCAGAATATAGCTTGTCATGTAACATAACGGCACAACAGTTTATCCGAGCATAGAAGGAGTTCTCCGTCACTTTCACAAACACACAGTTGCTAGGTAGACTTTTCTTTATATTTCTACAATCATATTTTTTCACACCTTAACCACTAACTTCATAGTCATGGAGAAGTGAGCCGCTGGCTGATAATGACATCATTAATTACATGAGCGTCTTGTCTTTCTTAAGTCTGAAATTTAAACAGCCTCAAGCTTTTTCTCTCTCATCACTTAAAAGAAAATCTAACGGGACCAAATACAGCTCAGAGCAAGAGGTATATATATTCCAGCCTATTCTGCCAGTGAGCTTAGTGCTATAATTCTCACACCTATCCATTTCTGTTTATGAAACAGTTTGACTCTTGAAAAATAGCTGGTAGGTTGTTGTTTTTATATCAGCCTGTTTAAAAAAAAAAAAAAAAGAAAGAAAAATGCGGTTTCCCTTCTCAACAACTGGCTGGACTTGAGATCAACGGTCACATATGTTCTGGATTTATATGAGGTGGAAATTTACGGTAGAACCTGTATTATTTGAGAGCGAACGGGAAACACAAACCCAAATGAGGACCGAGTATGTTTCAGCTTTTGGCTCAATTTCCAATGAATTTGTCAGTAGGACTGAGCGCAGACCTGCGACGAACTGGGCTCGGTTTGTGTCTTTATTGACTGTAACTGTAGCAGGTTGTCCACGGAGCTGTGAGCTGTGGTAATGGTACAGTCCAGTAAGTCCTGTACAGTGAAATACCCCGCCCCTCCCCCCGTTCGTGACTACAGTAATTGGTCGCTTCCTCTCACATGTAACCCTATAAGAAGAAAGAGGCTGCTGTACTTAACTGTATAGACCCACTTGTATGTGCTCTGCATGCGTGCTGTTTGCCGTATATGTTCAGTTGCCTTTCAGACTAATGAAGTGTTAACTTCCCCCTAATGTCTTTGGGTCCTGAATTACCTCCTGTGGTTGATGGTTTCTAGGCCAAACACATCACACAGGTAATATTTGTTGTATAGTATATATATATATTGCAAGTCACGCAGAAAGAGTTCTTCTTGGAAAGCTAAATGGATGTCACTGTTTGATATCTAGGTGGATGTACAGTATAAGTGGATTACAGATGAAACTGTATTATTATTATTTTTTTCACTATTCAAAAGTGGACTGGAAATATAAACGCAATTTGTTATATTTCACATGTTCTAAGAGGAGAGTTTCCTGAAAGAGAGACAGGATTTTATGGAGGTTATATAACGTTGACTTGTGGGCTAAGTGTATTTGCACCCACCTCACCCACATGTCTGTTGTCTGTCCGGTTGGCTTTCTGCGTGCACAACTCTGTGTGCTCGAGAATGTGCATTCTCTGTCAAATTCAGCATAGACATAAACAGGACTTTTGGTGTGTGTTTGAGTGGGCCTCTCCCTGCCTCGTCTCTTTCCCCTCTCCAGAGTCCAGCAAGGGGCCCAGCATAAGGGGGCAGGCTGCCGTCACTGCCTCTCTCTCCTCTTGCAGGCCAGCACTGGGGCCTGTGCAGGGGGGGGAGTGGTGCAGAGACCGTAGGGGTTGGACACGGGACATGAGACCCCCCACCCCTTCCACCCCAGTTTAGCCCATCCTGTGTGGGGCACAGGTCACCTTGTCATGTGCTATTACTGCTGCTGTAACATGCTCCCTGTGATCGTAGGAAAAGAGTACGAGATAGACCCATGGAGGCTGCGGGAGGGAGAATGAGCGAGAGAGAGGGGGGAGAGGGGCGAAGGGACAGGACTGGACTAGTCTGCTCAGCCAGTTGTTTAGCTGAATTACAGACTCAGTTTTCTACTTTAGTGTTGTAAGGTCCACATTGTCTCTTTTTGTCCATTGTTCTCTTTCCTCTATCTGTTCTCCCCATGTATTGTTTTTTTTTTTTTTTCTGAGGAAATTTCTAAACGCCGAGCAGATTTGAATTAAACTTCCTCTGTCACCAATCCCAGATCATGTTTTCTTTTAATGATACTTGCTTTCTTCACGCCCACCTTCCTCCTCCTTCTAAGTTTCCCTTTTTCACCCTCTTTTTTTTTTTTTTTACTGTTATTGTTGGCCCTAGATCTACTTCTATGTGTGAATCACAAGCCTCTGTATTTGCATTGTAGACCCGCTCTCTCTGGACCCAGGGTCATTCCAGATCTGATTTGTTTTATGTCTCTTCTGTACTCGTAGTGACCCAGCCCGAGGTATGCAGTAAAACACATCGCCTTATGTTTTCTCCCTTCTCCCTCCAACCCTCTCCACAACGTCTCCCTTTCTTTTCTCTTTCCCCCTCTCTCTCTCTCTCTCTTTCCTCCTTTAAATCTTTCTCCCACTCTCTCGCTGTCTTTTTTCCCTTTAAGAGAAACTTTTGGCAGCATGGAACAATTTCAGAACCATTTGTGGGATTGCGTCATGTGATGTAGATGCAGGATGCTCATTGGACTGTCGGAGGGCCTCCTTCTCCCACTCAGGCGTTCCACAGCAATCCCTCTCTTTCTTCCAGTGCTGTTATAGGTCTGGATGTGATTCCGACTCTGACTCTTATGTGTTGGGATGTGGTCTGTAAGCTCATTGCTGACATTCTTGGGACGTGATGCCAGAGGTTTTTTATTTCCCGCTTTCCTTTCTCTCTTCTGCATGTCTGTGTGCAGTTAAAATGATCCCTCCTTGAAATGCTGTCTGGATCCTCCTCTTCACCCACTTTCTTATATCTCCCCCTGTCCTCACTTATACTTCATTTCATCACCCAGGCGCTAATGGCACCACTTAATTAGGTTTGTTAGTCAGTGGGCGTTGGTGGAGGGTGGGTTTCTATAATCACTTGATATCGACTTTGATGAAAGTTAATCTAACATCTGGGCTGCGGTCCAAATCTTTCTCACAGCTGAGGTCTCACTTATGTCTTTTCTGTAAGTAACAGGGCACCTGACAAGGAAAACCAATGGCCACTTTCCTGTTTAGTAATCACATACTTAGACAACGGTGCAGCTGGAAATGAAATGGCGAGTAGAACCGAAGGAAACAAGCTACCTTGAGTGGTATTGGACTTCTGCCATGGTCCACCTTGGCGCATATACCGCAGTTACAGTAGATACAGTAACTGCAGCAGCAATGCACAGATTCCTGACTTGCCGTGTTCTGAGCACTATGCTCACCGTACAACATCATCAGCTCGAAGTGCTACAATTTCTCATATTAGCGCTTAACAAGTCTCTTCTCTCTGTTCCTCAGGTTCACACCATCTGTAGTCGTGACTTCATTTTGCATTGATTGACATCTAGTGTCAACTAATTAGAAGGTGCACATTAGAGGTATCCATTTGGGACACTGGGATGCAGATGGTGCAAACAATTAACACTGATAAATGTGGTGCTGGTTGTGTCGTTTTCTGGGTATATTATGTGAAAATTGGTTGGATATTCCTTCAACTCCACACCAGGTGTTCATTAATAAATATTTAATCACTGGACTTTTTATAAAGTGTGTAGGTTATGCTCAGATTATTAAAGATATTCTGTTATAAGACAAGTTACGTGTTTTTTCTGACATATTGATCTTAATTCAGTACAGACCACCAAAAGCATTCGACCGTTTATCTTTAAAATTGACCTATTGACCTATCAACCGTTGAGCATTAAGGCTTCTTCGGACAGTTTAAATCCAACCTGGGACTGGTTCTAGCGGCAGTCCCTGGATTATGAGACACATGCATGTCATTTCAGCCATGATGTGAATAAATCAAAGGAGGAAAAGATGAGTCATCGCTCCACTGCATGCTAAGTAGCACTTGTTCTCCCTCTGCTAGTTTGGTGGGTAAAAAGAAGAGGAAACTCCCTAGCCTCCCCTCCAGCTACACCACCAAAATTGGGGTAATGTCTTTATTTTGCAGCTTTCACCACCCAGTTAAAATGACAAGCTAGAGTCAGTTTGCGGTACTGTGCATAATTACAGCAGGCCTCATCTCTTGCTCATCGGCCACTGCCGGCCGCTGTGTCAGACCTCCAGACTTCCAGTACACACTGCCTTTCCTTCTCTTTATCACTTGATTTCTCAGTTAGAGTTCATCAATTCATTCTCACATGTAGGTTGTTCAGTTGCAGAGCGAAAGGTGCAATCAGTGCAAATGGTTTATATTTTACACAACGTGATCAATTCGATCTCTTATCTGTAAAGAATTGTCTTATTGTCAATACTTTGACTAGAGCCGGACTGATTACTCAGTGAAGTAATCATCAGATGAATCTATTATAAAAATCATTAGTACATTGTTTGCTTTAGTCCAGCCTCCAAAAACAG